TTCCCTTGCTTTTGGTATCATGTCCATCTGCTGAATGTCTGCTTTCTTTACACACTAGAACAAACCTCAGATGCTGCATCTCCAAGTTCAAATTTCGTAAATACGCTTCTGCCGCTAATGATGTCGACTGACTCATTTTACTTCACGGTGCCTAAACGAGTGTGCTCGGGTTAAAATGTGGTTAGGAGTGAAGAAAAACCCACAAATCGCATATACTGCGGGTCGGATGATCAAACCATTGCAACACACACTTCGTGTTTCGACACTAATTGATCCACTAAATCTAGTAGGGCTTAGTTTGAACACGCGACGATTAGAAAAGGGCCAAATAGAGGAATGGTATAAGGAGAGTGGATTTAAGAGAACAAGCAAACTGAAAGTAAAAGCACGCAATAACAGCCTGACGTAAAGTGCAACCTGAGAAACTTGCATCGCGTCACATACCAAACGGTTAGAAACCAAACAAACGACTAAGCGACTGAACCACGGAAGCGAATAGGCAATACTGTCCTAATGGACTCCTCACCAAATAATTTCTTGATGCTCTGGCCGTCGCAGAGAATAATCAACGGGATTTGCAGGGTGAATGGAGATGAGGATGCCGCGGCTTAATTCCTCTAGCATTATTCCCTCTTTACGATTTTGCATCCTTACTGTCTCTTTCCAAGACCACTACTATCTCCGTTCTGTTCAACACCCCCCAAATTCTATCCGGTCATATTGCTTCAATAAGCATTTGTCTCCTAGCATGGGCGTGCACGCAATCGAGAGGCGTCAGTCCCGTCCTGTCGCCAAGTCCATGTCCGACCAGGCAGGTAGTCGCAGTTCAAACGCCTATATGTGAAATTCTTGATCGATCCTAAGGATATGAATCAACTTCCGGTCAACAAGCAGCATATGTCCAAAAAGTAGCGACGGACGTTGTTTGTACATCAGGAAACTCCTTGTAAACCTCGAGCTTTGCCTCGCCATACGTAGGCCTTAATGCCATTGACGGCACTTGCTTGATCCGTCTACAAAAGACGCTCAAGCCGGTGTGCGCATTGGTCTGGGCCCCAGCGCTGAAACCGCTCTGACGAACAGAACACTTATTGGAAAATTGTCCACGAATTAGCTGCAACTGAGCAGCACATGTAGTGAGCGGTTTCTACACTTGGGCGAAGAAACTCGTTTATTTCTTGTGATCAATAACTTTCGACACAGTACCCATTCCAAGGTTGCATTACGCTCTTCGGTCTCGGAATAGTCATAGATGCAATTGGATCGCATTGGGATCCGTTATCGTCGAATAGACTGTGTTCAAGACTATCGCTATATTTGCAGCACAACCTTGGAATTCGACTAAGCACTTGCATGTGCTGATACACAGGCGGCGCTCAGTGAGACTCGGCTCGCTGAGCAAGGTAATTTGCATGAAGCAGGTGCTGGTTACACGTTACACTAGGTGGGCAACGCCACCTCAGCACCACGTGAACATGGGTCGGATCTACAATATACGATTAGCTAAATGAAGCAAGGCCGTGTCTCAGCTCCTTCCCTGTTTAATAGTAACCTTCATGCGATGATGTCTTGTGCTTCTGATGTGGCTTGTGGTTACGGTGTTCGTGTGCAGCACCGTACTGATAATGGGCTGCTGAACACACGTCATTTCGGGGCGAAAACCCTAGCCTGTGAGACAACTATCCGTATGTTGCTGTTTGCTGACGATTGTACCGTTTGCGCAGAGCGCGGATGAATTGCAGCACAAGAATAGTGCTCTGGCTTCGACAGCGGCCAAATTCGGGCTCACCATCAACACTAGCAAGACTGTTTGTCTATTCCAGCCTTCCCCCGGAATGGAGTCCGTGGGCCTGCCCAAATCCAGATTGCTAAGGAAGTGTTGGAAACCACTCCGAGATTTTCCTTCCTTGAGAGCGTAATAACAAGCGACCTGCAAATGACGTGTGAGCTGCGCAACCGCGTACCGAAGGCGGCTGATGCTTTTGGCAAGCTGTAATGCCGTGTGTGGAACAACCACCAGCTCTATGTTGAGACGAAGCTGCTGGTAGGTATAGTCTATGGCGCTGTCCGTTCTTCTATAAGGCAGCGGAACCTGGACGATTTATCGGAAGGATGTCTTATATCTGGAGCGCATCCATCAACAGAGTCTATGCCGTATTATGTGCATCGGCTGGAATGACCGAGCTGCAGACATGGAGGTGCTGCGACACAGTGGCGTGTATGTAGTGCACCGCATAATTCTCCTGAGGCACCTGAAATGGATCGGGCATAGTGGCCGCATGGATTCGGCCAGGACACCGAAACAGCTACCTATGGCTAACTGAGTGCAGGGAAACGGCACGTAGGAAAACCGAAGTGAAGTTACCAGGACATAATCAAAGTGAGCCTCTCACGTGCTAACCTTGCTTGCAGATCATGGGTTGATCGGCGTGCATGGCGTGATCTGATCACAAAGGCAGTTGCCTAGGTGCAAGAGAAAGACTTTGTGCATGTAGAGAAGCAGGGCAGTTGCGGAAGCGACAGGAGCCGATGGACTGTAGTCCATCGACTTCGGACGCATGATGCTGTAGCACATGCGGTCGTGAGTGCCGGAGTCAGGCAGGATTAGTGAGCCACGAGCGAGGCCACTCAGGGTCAACACCGAAACGACGATGAGTCCCGTTGAGAAGGTAGGCAGAACCGGCGCAGCGTCGGTAGGCACGATGCATTCGATTTATTAACTGCGTGCTTCCATGTTGAGTCCCTTTATTTCAAGTGGTGGGTTTGCTATCTTGTCCATACGCTTTTCCATCTCATTTTAATGTCTACCTGAACGATCTTCTATAAACTTGCACACATCTCTTAAACTAACTGCAGTAAACATCGATAACATTTGCGCGATTGTGACATTTTCTTAAAATACATTTCCTGACGTCTTGAACCTTGAAGATTGTTGGCAACCAATCTATTTCATACGCCAATTTATTAACGAGTTGCGTCGCCATATCTGCATGCAATAATCGATTTATTTGACAAGGGTTTGGCGTCTCAAGTGATTGGCTGTTGGTTGATATCCCCGGTGTGGCTACGCTTGATGGACATGTTGACAAGGTGCCTACCTGCCTATTACCCACTACCTCGTCCATACTGGCTCCAGGAGACAGTTGGTCGTTGCTGGAGGGGACGGGGTGCACGGTCCTTGTGGTCGTGCTAGACTCGAAAAGTGGTTCCATGCACTCAGTGTGGAGTGGACTACGGTCCATGCACTGCTTTGTGTGCGCTTGATTCCCCAAATACAGCGTGTTTGTGTTTGCCTGTGAAGGAGTGTGGGCCGGCTCCGTTGATGAAACCTGGCTCCCATCCACATACCTCCCGGTCTTATTCCTTCGGGTTTAAACTGGATATAGGGTGTTTGGGTGAAGCTGTGGGTGGTGCAGCGCAAGCCACCCATGATCCCTCTGTAGGCGTAGGCGTCCTGTGTCTGGCCACAGTAACAGGCAAATCCGAAACCGGATGCCGACAACCCATTGCACATACCTAGTGCAGAGTAAATGCTTATGGCACCACCCTTAATAATATTCAGCGATATGCGACAGTCGTCCTTCATCAGCAAATACGGGGTCGCGTAGTTCTGGAGACTCCGTTCACCTATATCGATTTGGACGGTGCGGGTATGCTCCAAGATGATTGACTTCCTGATTTGGAATACGCCGACGACGTTACCCTAATCTGTTACGTACCACAAACCTGCCAAACAGCACTGGATAGCTCGGCATTGGTTAGCTATCGGTAGGGATGAGCTTTGTACCCTCGAAATGGAAAGTCCTTCTCCAAGGCTGGCGTTAGACAACCTTAGCATCAACCCTTGGTGGTGGTCAGATAGAAGTTATTAAGAAATTCGACTACACGGACAGCTACTTCAGTGTTTATGGAGTAGAAGTTGAGATCACTAGTCGGATAGCAAAAGCTCGAGGTGCTTTTGCTAATCTTCGCGAAATGGCGCGCCGGGGATCAGTATCGCTTGTAGTTATCCCTCCAACCCTCTTGTATGGTTGTAAAGCTTGGGGCATCATATCTACACATACAGAGGCTGGTTTTGCTCGACCATCGGTGCCTTCGCGGTTTAGCTCACACTTAGTGGGAGCACTACGTAAGCAATGAACGTGTTCGTCATCTTGTATATGCCGCAGAAAGAGCAAGTGCACCGTACAACATTGTTATCACACGCGGGAGGCTCCGGTGGCTTGATCATGTGTTGAAGAAAAGAAAAAGCTAACCGAAAAATTAATCAAGAGGAACGAAGGACTTCAATTCGAACTAGACCGCAGTTGAAGCCTTTCGACTCACGGGTTGGGAGGATGAACACGTTTCGCTTGACACCTCCGTGAAATGTGCAGGAGCCGACCTCATTAGCACCATTTGTGTTGCGAGCTCCTTTGCCCCTCCCCTCACCTAGCGTCTCCTTCCAGCCAGGATTACATTCTAGATGCACATATGAAAAAGGACAATATTACTTATATTTATTTTGTATTTGTAAGATTTACAACCCCGTTTTCGTACACATTATCTATTTGTATTGCGGTGTAATAGTTGAGGCAATTCTAAGCCCCAGCCAGCATGTAGTATGGTGATGATGACTCCTCTAATGTACATCTCGCCAGCGGACCACACTGCAGAGAAACAAAGTAACTGGATTCATGAGATGGATTAACAAAGAATTGAGCCGATTGATGCGAGAAGACATTAAACGGATAAGCGGAAACTACTGGGGCGCAGATGAAGGGCCCCATTTGCAGGCATCGTCCATGCGTTTGTGACACGTTCCAACACACTTTCGATGCTACGAACTAATGAAGCTATTCTTAGCTTAAGCCTGTTCTGCCGTTTCCAATTTGTCACCAATACTATATATACTTGTCACTATCATCGTAGGGATGCGGATCTGAAAAAGTGGGTTCGCTGCACTTCGGGGCTAAGTGAAACATTGTGATACGCAAGTCTAAAGAAGAGAACGAACTTACGTCTTGTTTTCAGAGAATAGTTGCATCAAACGCAGACCTAATCCAAACAGGCCACCAGTTTCTGGAGATGAAAGAAGGAACAGAAACGTCGCGACATCAACTAATGAAGAAGGCGGTGTCGAACTGTAAGCCAATCGTGGGAACTCAATGTCTCACAACAAATTGCCAGCACGCAAACGATCGAAAACTGAGCACGTGAAGCAGGATCAAGAATGTTCAGAGCTTATATAGTAAATCCAAGTAGAAGAAGCGACCGACAATAATGGTAATGAACTGAAGCAACCGTAGGGCATTTAAGCGTCATATGGATGCAATAGATTACAGTGGTTAAATATACTTGATTATTGGTGGTTTTTGTGAGTAGTGTAATCTTCACAGAAAGTAGAAGCTACGATTAAACTTTGTACAATAATCTGCCTCGACGGGGAATCGAACCCCGGACATACGAATTACCGGTCCGCTGCTCTTCCACTGAGCTACCGAGGACTGAGGATCAGGTGCGCAATTTAATACATGACTTCTGCTTGGTTTGCGACGTATTGCCAATAAGCTCACAGTATCTGTCTTGTTGTTGCAGAATGGCTCACTTACTCATCACTTCCCAATGAACCGAAGTATCTGTCCTCCTGATGTTCACAGGGCGATGGTAAAGGTAGATTATTAGTGGTTTTTGTGAGTAAATTTTCGTAGAAAGTAGAAGCCACGATTAAACTACGCACAATAATCTGCCTCGACGGGGAATCGAAACCCCGCTGCTCTAACACTGAGCTACCGAGGACTGACGGTCAGGTGCGCAATTTAATACATGACTTGATGATGATGATGATGATGACTTGATGATGACTTGGTTCGCGACGTAGAGCAGCAGACCGGTTAAATATACCCTGTGAAAGTGCAAACAATAAAGTAAAATAAAAAGTCCCTTCACAGTGTAGATAAGAAATCGAATGATTCACTTACTTCGTATCGCCATCGCTTTATATTCAGATTCAGAAGGGCAACGAAAATAGGAGCGCCAGAAGATATCCATACCTTGGCCACGATGCAGTTCCAACATTTGTTCTGTGTGATGCAAACAGAGGATGGATTCTAATTAGGAGTTGCAAAGAATGTCGCGGTCAGTACTGAAATGAGAATGTTTGAGAAATAAATAATGGCTTATGAAATGTTACTCAACCAGATTGTCCATAAGGCCAATATGTGCGTCACCGGATTGACTAACTGGCATGGGAGACTACAGACAAAAGTACAGAATATAGTACAAATACGTCTGTCGCGTAAAACAGGATGCCAAGAAAGAAAACGCTAAAGAAAGAACTGAAATCGCGCATAATACGTCAATAGTCCAACAGGACAAACACAAGCACGAGATTCCGTCCCGGCAAAGAAAATTGTCACACTTCAGCTCGTATCAAAAGGTGACCGAATCACCCCAAATAAAGCATACGGAAATGCTGACATAAATCTACGCCAAATGAGCATATGTAATAAACTGGTTATCAACAAATCCGCGACAAGTGCAAGAAAAGATATTTCTTAAAAGACTACAAAAGCGAAAATGTTGGCGAACTTAACCACAATTAGCTTAAGCAACGTGTACACGTTCAGGTAAATGCTAAGACATGATAGCAAACCACCACCTGAAATAATGAAACGTAGCATGCGGTTAGTAAATCGGATGCAGTGTACCTACCAATACTGTGCCGGTTTTGCCTACGTTTTCAGCAGGACACGTCGTTGTTTCCATGCTGGTCCCGAGTGGCTTCGCTCGTGGCTTCCTAGGCTTGTCTGATTGAGCACTCGCGACCGCATGTGATACAACACCATGCGCTCGACGTCGATGGAGTACACCCCCTCGGCCACTGTCGCTATCATGTTTCGCTGCCGTATAGAAGAACGGACAGCAGCGTGGATTTGTTCACCATCAGCTTCGTGCCGACGGTATGCTGGCGCTGTTCCACACTCGATTCTCAAGCTTCCCAAATACGGCCGCTGCCTTCGATATTCGGATACGCAGCTCACTGCTGGTCAGTCAAAACGAACTCCCAATACTTCGTCATCAATGCTGCATTGCCGCAGTATTGAAAATTACACCTCCGGTGGAGACTGAAAAAGCAGACAGTTTTGTTTGTGTTGATGGTGAGTCCGAATTTGGCCGCTGTCGAAGCCAGAGCACTAATCATGTGCTGCAACTTATCCGCGCTCTGCGCAAACAACGCACAGTCATCAGCAAACACCAACATACGGATAGTTGTCGCACAGACTAGGGTTCTTGCACCGAAACGACGGGTGTTCAGCAAGCCACCACCAATACGGTGCTCCACCTTATCACCGTAATCACAAGCAGTATCAAAAGTTCCCGATATTTTGTCGTGGAGATGAATATTAAACAGTGCAGGAGCCAAGACAGAGTATTACTTCCCAACAGAGACCACCGTGAAGTCATCCGAGGTCGGTAAACTCAGCTGCATCTTCACCCGCATACCACTGTGCAAACATCCCATTAAACCCACAAACGTGCTCGGACAATCAGACTAGCAGAACACCAGCTACAATGCCTCGCGGTTAACTGAATCAAATGCTGTAGTAAAATCAACAGACAGCGAGTACAACGGCTGATGTCGTTCTCTGCACTTCACCTGCAACTGACGAGCCGCAAACAGCATATCGAAGGAGCTGCGACCCGAACGGAATCCAGATTGCTAGTTCGCCACGTTCAGTTCCACAATATGACTGACGAGGTGGTTGTGCAGGATTGGGTCAATCGCCCTGCCCACATAACTCAGTAAGTTGATGCCAAGATAATCCGTGCAACATTGTTTGCTCCCCTTGCTGGCTGGCTTGCCGAACAACCTTCTCGTGATATTAGCTGGGTGGTTCGGGTATTTCCCGTTCCAGAAAATGGTTCGGCGGCAGTGTTTAAGGACACGGTGGGTTTTCGTCTGACAATAATTCTCCCTATAAAAGCCACAAATGTCTGTTTAACAACGCTGCGACGTGGCGGATGTGATCCACCACTAAATAAAGTCACAGCTCCTCGATCCTCCCTGAGAGGCACTGCACTTCAAGGGTGGGTTGGACACCTGGTCCTTCACGAACCGAAAGCCGCATTACCACATAGTTGGTCAACGGCTCCCAACGGGTTGTAACGCCCTCACATCTTCGATCAAAGGTTCGGGGTAGGGCCTCCTAAGACAACTCTCTACTTCGGCCTGGGCAACCGGGTAGTATAACGCCCACCGACGAATCTTAGAAAACACTGCTTACTACGGCTATGCCTGCCATCTATGCTATCTCAACTCCTAAACCTCCACTCACAGATCATCACACCTCCCGTCCTTCTATAGTACTCTTACGTTTTCTTCGGTCACGGGTACAAACGACGTACGTCTGGCAACTGATGAGAGCGACAGTCAAACTCCTGGTTTTCAATGTCTTGTGATCTCAATCGACTTTCACTCTACCGAACGGGTTCTCCATTCATCCTCGCAGCGTTTAATGTTCGAACTTTGATGCAGATCGGACGACAAGCATGTCTGGCCCGTACTCTTGAAACGCTCTCGGGTGACATCTGTCGCCTTTCAGAGACCAGATTACAAGACTCTAGCGCCGTCATCAGGATGGCCTCTCCGGTAAACCCTGACGCCAAATACCACTTGCGGCATTCCGGAGACTCAGAAGCTGCCGCCTCTGACCAAGATGGTGTGGAAGTTGCACTGAGTGCCAGAGCTGAATCAGCTCTGCTTGACGGTCACAGTCAACAGTCTGCTATGAGCAGTCCGATTAAAAGGTTCAAGGAATGTAAGTAGGTGTAGACGTCAAGCGTGCATTGTTTGTCGTCTCCGCCCACGCCCCTACAGACCGCAGCCCGAGTGCAGTCAAGGATAGCTTTTGCCAACAGCTACATGAACTTCTACATTCTTCCAAAAGGACAGAGATAGCCATTCTTACCGGAGACTTTAACGCACAGGTGGGCCGCCTGGCACAAAGCGAGCACCACCTTGGGAGTAGTTTTGATCTCGGTGGCAGTCGATCAGACAATGGAGACAGACTGCTTGCTCTTTGCTCTGATCATCGCTTGTTTCTTTCGCGCACTAGTTTTGGGCACTCGAGGAGACACACTGCTACCTGGCGCCCGCCCTCACAAACGCGAGAGCGCTCCCAGCTTGACCACATAGCAACCAGCTGCAGATGGCGAGGAAGCGTAACGGACTGCCGATCGTACTGGCCAACTTTTCTGGACTCCGATCACGCATTGGTTCGTGCTAAGATTTGCATGCGTTTCGGGGGATAACCCAAGTGCGCTCACTACCGACCGAACGTAGCACATCTACAGAACCCTGCGATTTTAACTAGGTACCAAGCCTCACTGTCAACACTGCTTGGATCAACTATTGACGGTGACCTCGATTCGCAGTGGGCGCAGATCAAAGATGACTTAGTTTCCGTCAGTATCGACACTTGTGGAGCTTCCCGTCACCCACCGAAGCATTGGATTTCCACCGTCTCCTTGTCACTGATGAACAGACGCCGCTTCATCCCGTCAGATTTCATCCACAGTGAAGAACGCCAATCCCTGGGTCGAAAGTTGCCCAAGAGTCTGCAAATTGGCTACGAAGCTTGGTGGTGTGAACGTGCTAGGGAGATGGAGCTTGGTAGTCCCTCTGGTAACACCAGAAAACTTTTCCATCTCATCTGAGTCACTGAAGGTGTTCGATCTGGTATAAGTGGAACAATATGCGAAGAAGATGGCACCTTAATCACCAATATTCAACGACGGTTGGAGCGATGGGCCGAACATTTTGGCTCGCAGTTTTGTTGACCACCAGCTCCATCTGCTACCTCTGGTGCACGCACTGGTGCCGAGTGGTCTACCCCCACAGATCCTCCCTCTTACCAGGAAATCGAGCATGAGCTCCGCCACATGAAGCGCTATAAAGCCACCGGCCCAGATGATCTTCCTCCAGCTCTATTTAAAGATAGCAGCACTTCGAAGGTTCGAGAACGCACCGCTTTGTTCTCGAAACTTTGGTCGAAAGAGGAAGTTACATAATCTTGGGGTGAATCCATAGTCGTCCCCATCTTCAAAAAGGGCCTGCGCAAGATCTGCTCCAACCACAGAGGAATAAACTTAGTCCCCGTGATTTGCAAGCTGCTGATGTCCATCATAATTCGCAGGAAATTCCCAACGCTCGAATCCTTGCATCGAGAAAAATAAGAGGTGGTTTTCGACCTTGGTACGGCTGCATCGACCAGATTTTCACACTCCGCCAGATCCTCGAGCTCCGGCATGTGTATCAGAAACCAACGATTGCTGTGTTCTTGGATATCCGTGTAGCCTTCGATTCTGTCGATCGGACGATACTGTGGCACTGTCTGCTGAAGAATGGCATCCCCGAGAAGTTCGTCTACATACTGCGCTCTCCCTATAGTCTCACCTCGGGCAGAGTTAGAGCGTATGGCAAGCTCTGGCCTTCTTTTGTGGTCTCCAGTTAAGTTCGACAAGGATGCCCTGTCCTTCCGTTCTTATTCAACTTTGCCATTGAGGATGTCCTAAAGAACGGTCTGGGCGATTCGTTGAAAGCTGGCGTTGAGCTCCTCTCAGGTAGTCGAATTGTAAATTGGGATTGTGCTGATGATATCGTCTTCCTAGGTGACGATGCACAAGCAGTCCAACTTGCACTAAACCGCTTGGCGATTGGAGAATCAAAGTAGAGTATGTACTTTTTGTCATCCAAATGCCAGGCTCTCTTTCAAGACTGGCAGGTACCTGTGCCAGCACACTCTTCGTGGTGAGACAATGGAGGTTACGGAGAGCTTTGTCTACTTGGTGAGTTGCATCACTGCTGGCGGGGCTGTTGGAGATGATATTTCGATGCGCATCTCAAGAGTACACCATGCTTTTTTAGGGCTGAGGAACTTGTGGCGTCACCACGACAATATTGCATGTGTTGGTGGTGTGCCCGAATTTGGCGGCTGTCGAAGCCAAAGCACTAATCATGTGCCGCAATTTATCCGCGCGCTGCGCAAAAAACACAGTGGTCAGCAAACACCAACATACG